CCAGGGTCTTATTTGCATGTAAAATTTCACTAATAGTAGGTTTGGACATTACGTCTGTATTTCAATAGTTTTTCTACCTAATCAAAGTTGTGTTAGAAGGAGGTGATTTTAATTAAATCTGTGTTAATTTGCCACTAATTTCTATAATCAATCAGGCGGCCGCAAACTGAGGTCGCCGCATAACTGCATAATTCAGCTCATATCCACTGTATATGTTAAGATGACCCAGCTTCCTCACCGCCGCTGCCCTAACTCACAACACCACCGAAGTAGCAAGACAAGTGTTATTGTATTTTGTTCCATTCCTGTCTTAACACTCGGGTTTACTTTTTAATTCGTTTTCATTAAACTACCTTATTCTATTTTACGGTTTGGTTATTCCGTGTTAGTTGAAAAAATTAATTGAATATGGATAGTTTTCATGGGGTTCAGTCGATGGATGTCGTAAGTAGTGGCCTTATTCCTAAACACGTTCATAAATCCATGCCCCTCTATGGACATATTTAGCTTTCAATCGTTCAAAATTATGCTGTTACTAATTATTTTTTCAGGACCCCAAATTAGATTATGATTCACCTAGTGTGATTAACAATGACCAACTATCGGATGCCGGAACTCTGGCTGAATTAGAGGAGCGGGCTGATAACCTTCAATTCATGAAGCAAAAGGCATTTTCAAGCTTTGCTACCACTAATGATGGCTTATCTGAAGGTCTTGAAGTAGATGAAGAAAGTACATTTACTTGGGAAATTAAGGACTGGCAGTCGTTAGAAAAGAAAACTCATGGACCTCGTTTCACATTTCATAATTACAATTGGGATATTCTTCTCTTTCCTCACGGGAATAACTCACCTTCGGTTTCTCTGTACTTAAATGCCAGTCCAGCTGACTCTAAATCTTCTTCGCCTGAATCTTCCGTTGAAATTGGCATGGATGCCGGGGCTGGTGAAGTCGAAAATGTACCCTTAAAGACCAATGAGGCAGAACAGGATTGGGCTGTGTGCGCTCAATTCAGTTTGGTGATGTGGAATCCTGATGATCCATCTATCTATCAAGTTAGCTCAGCTCAGCACCGATTTAATAATAGTGAAACAGATTGGGGATTCACCAACTTTTACGACATTCGACGATTGGCAGAAAGACACTTAGATTCCAGTGGTGCTCTATTAGAAAATAACAAAGTTAATATATCGGCATTTATTCGTGTTATTAAAGATCCTACCGGCGTTTTATGGCACAATTTTATCAACTACGACTCTAAAAAAGTTACGGGCTATATTGGTATAAAGAACCAAGGTGCTACTTGTTATCTTAATTCTTTGTTACAGTCTTTGTATTTCACCAATCAATTTAGAAAGGTAGTTTATCAAATTCCTACTGAGACAGAAACCCCTAATGAAAGTGTTGTTTTAGCTCTACAACGTTGTTTCTATACTTTGCAAACCGCCAATTATCCCTTAGATACACTTGAATTGACTCGTTCTTTTGGTTGGGATTCCGGTGATGCATTCACTCAGCATGATGTACAAGAATTGCTTAGAGTTCTCATGGATTCATTGGAGACTAGAATGAAGACTACAGCTGTTGAGGGTGCTCTTAGTGACATTTTTGTGGGCGAAATGAAATCTTATATTAAGTGTGTGAATGTTGACTTTGAATCATCTCGTAAAGAAGAATACTGGGATATCCAATTAAATGTTAAGGGGATGAAAAACGTGGAAGATTCTTTCAAGGATTACATTCAAGTTGAAATGTTGGAAGGTGAAAATCAATATCAAGCTACTGGATTTGGCCTCCAAGATGCCAAAAAAGGTGTTGTTTTTCAATCATTCCCTCCTGTGCTTCATTTACAGCTAAAGCGTTATGAATACGACTTTCAGCGTGATATGATGGTAAAAAACAATGATCGTTATGAATTTCCTCAAGAGATTGACTTTTCGCCCTTTTTAGACGAAACCTCTACCATTAAGGATGAGAATTGGGAATATGCTTTACATGGTGTATTAGTCCATAGTGGTGATTTGAATGCAGGCCATTACTATGCGCTACTCAAGCCTCAAAAGGATGGTGACTGGTATAAGTTTGATGATGATAGAGTAACCAAAGCCACATTGAAGGAAGTTTTGGATGATAATTACGGTTCCGGCAATGGTAATAACGGTGATTTACTTAGTGGTGGTTTTGGCCGTACCATGAACTTAAGACAAATGAGACTTCAAATCAAGCGTCATACCAGTGCTTATATGTTAGTTTATATCCGTAAAAACAAACTGGATACCGTCTTGAGCCCTGTGGTTGAATCAGATGTACCCAGCTATATTCCTCAGCAACTTGCTGAGGAACTCGCTGAAGAGCAAAGAAGACGTAAAGAACGTGAGGAGCAACATTTGTACACCTATATCAAGGTTACTTCTGATCGACAAATTCAAAGACATCATTCTTTTGATATTGCTAATTGGGATATTAAGCATGCTCGTGAGGCTGATGAAGAAGGTGCCAAGCCGCGTACTTTAAGAGTTAAGAAGTCACTCAAACTCAAAGAATTAATGAAGGTTATTGCAGATGATTATGGTATTGATAATATAGAATCATTCCGACTTTGGACTTGTTGCAGCCGTCAAAATCGTACGGTTCGACCGGATATACCTTTGGATCCTAATCATGAGCAAATTGTTGAAGAAATAATGGAGGCTAGTTCAAAGGCTAACATTCTTCGTTTTTGGATTGAGGAGGCTTCTTATGACCAAAATGGTGTTCAGATACCCTGGAAAATCGGCTATGGTGATTCCAGTATTACAACTCCTGAACAGGTTTTGAATCAAGAGCCTTCATTACAAGACCAATCAAACTTGCAATTACAGCCTACTACAAAGGATTCCAATATTTTAATATTTGCGAAGTACTTTGATCCTTTCAAACAATCGTTAGAATATATTGGTCATTTTGTAGTTGACAAAAACTCTTTTGTTGAAATTTTGAAGCCCTTAGTGTGCAAAAAGCTTGGCTGGGTTGCTTCGTCTACGATGATTAACGTTTTTGAAGAAGTAAAGCCAATGATGATCTCACCCATTGGCCCCAAGACTACCTTTGATATAGCTGAGCTCGGTAATGGTGATATTATCTGCTTTCAGAAGGTCTACCCCAAAGAAGAAATGGCCCATGTTAAGGGCTACCGGGATGCCGTTTCCTTTTATAGCTTTTTGCTTAATCGTGTCAAGATTAGTTTCTTTTCTTACAAAGCCTTTAGGAAAGCGAATGAAGAACCTGCTAATGGTGAAATTAAACCTGATACTGAAAGTGAATCAAAGTTGGAAGATGGTAATAATACTTCGATAACTAATAATGATGACGATGATGAAGATGAATTTGAGTTTTGGATTAGTAAGAAGGACACTTTCGATCAACTAGTTGAAAAAGTTAGTGAATATATCAATGCAAAGCCCACACATATTCGACTTTACTGTCAAGGTTTGAATGGTAGCATTAGGATCATTAGAAAAACTAATGACGTTCTTAAAAACATCCTTTCTTCATGTTATGCTGATAATCTTTCAACTGTAATGTATTACGAAAAGCTTGATATGAGTTTGGCTGAATTAGAAGCTCTAAGGCCGACTCGTGTTTCATGGCTGACTCAAGGTGTAATGGAAGATACCAAGGTTGATTTATTAGTTCCTCGTAATGGAACTTATGGTGAACTTTTAAATATATTAAGAATGAAATTGGGTATTGCCGATAAGGTGTCTAACTTAGAAATCAAATTATGGACCTCATCTTCGAATATTCAAAAGATTAAAGATATGCCAGTTCACAATGCACCGATCGATAACCATGCAGGCCATTTTTACGCTACATTAAAAACAGCCGATGAATTAAGCTTTGAAAAGCAAATGGAAGCCTTGCAATCTAATGTTTTAAACCCCGACCTCGTATCACTTGACGATGAGCCAGAACAGTTACTAGAAGAAGAAACATTCAGATATATTCAAGTGTTCCATTTCCAAAAGGATACACATCGGACCCATGGCATTCCTATCCCTTTCTTGTTGATCAAGGGTGAAAAGTTTCTTGATACCAAGAAACGTCTGCAAAATGCCCTTGGTTTTCCTGATGTTCTCTACAGTAAAACCAAATTCGCCGCTATTCGTGGTGCTGATCCTCACAGTAAGCCGGTCTACTTTGAAACCAATAACGATAAGACAATTTCTTCAGCCCCTGGTGTACAAGATAGCCAGAGTAGTGACAACCTTGAATTATTCCGCGAGCTCAATGATGAAGACAGTATTGGTTTAGATCATTTTGATAGAACTCCTGTCAAGCATGGATACTCTGAACGTGCCATTTTCATCAAGCATTGAACAAGGGGGAGGTGTTTGTAATTAGACCTTTCGGATCTAATTTTTTTTCATTTTTTTCTTTGTTAGGTGCATCTACTTGTGTTTTTCTTCAGTTTCGAGGCAATGTTTCAACTTTTTAATCACGATAGGATACATTTATTTTCTTTTTTTTTCATTTACTACTATCTTTTTTTATGTTTTATATTTTGTTTATATTTTGAAGTTCAATAAATTCAATCCTCTTTATCAAATCAAGCTAAAGGGTTTGCCTGCTCTTAAGAGAAAGAAGGGAAGACAAAATCAAATAAAGGTGCTTTTGGTAATATTTCAAAAAAAATACTGAGTTAGAAAGAATAAAGAAAAAAAAACATCGGTTTCCATGTTTCCTTTAAGAATATTTTTTAAATTTAGCAGAGTATTATCAAGAAAGACGTTTTGAGATATCACGGTAGGCTACTACGAACTCGGCGTGCAAAATATTTCTGTAGAGGAAATCAAAAAATACTTAAGGGAAATTTCAGGACTTTGAACTTTTGGAAACGGCACTCGATTACTTCCAAACGAAGAACCGGGCATCCTTATCTGGGATACAATCATTGTGTGTTTCCATTTTGTCTTGGTCCCATAATTAAAAGATGAAATTGAGAGAATAAAAAAATTAAATGCCTCAAGTCGGGATTGAACCGACGAATCTTCTGTTTACGAGACAGACGCCTTACCACTTGGCCACAGGGGCAATTAACTTGACCTTGTATTCGATTTGTCATTTCAATACAATTAAAACTACACACTGGCTGAAACGTTCCTATGTGGTTCGGGGTTTTGTGAATTATTGTTGGTTTTATTACATATAAAACGGTATCATTCTTTATTTCACAAATCAAGGCGTGTAACATAATATATATGGTAAATTTGGCACTTAAATTGACAACTATTGGTTATGAATTCATTAAGAGTGGGGAAAAATGATGGCGTAGGTACGTATTAGTAAAGATTTTTTCAACTAACGGGAGATAGTTTATTTTTTAGACCAGAGAGAAAATGAATGAAAAGAAAATCTTTTGAACAACTCAAGGTTTTTCTCGTTAAAATTTTGAGTTAGTAAATATGGTATAAAAAAGTTCCGAAACTGCATGATTTGTTTTTTATTTTTTTTTTTGACCTACATTGAATATCTATTTCGACCTTTCAACGAAAGGTTCTACTATTTTTTTCTCGCGGGAAGCAGATTTATACAGTTTTATTCCCGGTTCAACAAGTGTTATTGAGTTCTAGCTGTTTGAAAAAATATACTTTTGCCTCAAGTCGGGATTGAACCGACGAATCTTCTGTTTACGAGACAGACGCCTTACCACTTGGCCACAGAGGCAAATTTCTTTCTTACCAACCCCTTTCATTTGGAATTTTTAATCCTGAAAATCTTTTTACTTTTATAATATCAAATCTATTTCATCTTACTTTTGCTTGCATAACAGCCACTTGCTAAGTTGCAAAACAATCCGTTTCGGAATCCATATTTTTTATTTTTTTTTTTTACCTTTTAAGTTTTTTTCAGTTTTTTTTTAAAAAATACTATCCTGTAGTTTTGCAAATATTTTATTTTCTCTTTAAAAAAGAATCAAAAACAAGAAAAAGAAAATTGAATAAAGAAAAAAACAACTAATTTTCCAAATTTAGGTAAATTATAATTTTTAATAATTTTTAATAATTTTTCTTAGAAGGCCTGTTTGCAGGTGAATAGTCTTACATATTTTAATATGAACAAATAGCGGCAGCTTTTCGGCGCTACCATACGGTTCACCAGTTCTAGCTGAATTTCCATAGACTTGAGATTAGAGATTCTCTTATCATTCATAAACTTATAGCCTACGTCAAAATACAAATTCTAAATTCTAAATTGATAAAGAATTAACATAAAAGATCAATAAAAACCACTAACAATTTTGAGTGATAAGGTGACAACTTGACCACGAGATCCATTTGAAACGCGCTAAATAAATAAATGATAAATTATATTAATTAGATAAAAAGTGAAGAGTAAAAAGTACAATTAAGAATTAGAAACTGGGAAAAAGTAAGCAAAATAAAAAATCAGTTCGAGAAAAAGAATAGTAAAAAATGGATAATAATATGATATGCTGAGATCAAATGAATAGTGACAAAAAGTATAATATACAAAGAAAAAGAAATCAAACAAAGAATAAGCTATAATAATCAAACTATAGTTCAATATAAGACCAAAAGATCGAATACATGTTTTCTTTCTTTCTTTCCCTTTGTATATATATATATGCCATTTTTGGATTTAGTTTGTCAAAAAAAGGATTAGTTATCAATTTCGTCGACAAAGAGCGAAGCAGTGGAGGGGCCGGCAACGGCAGCATGATACTCTCGGATAATAGAATCGACATCATCAATATTAAGTGATCTGACATCACCTAACTTCTTAATTTTGGCCGTAACTTCCTTGCACTGGCTATCAGATAATTGTAAGTTTAGTTGATCCACACGACTCTTAATGGCGTTCCAGCCGGTCAATCGGTTAGCAAAGTGAATATAACGCGTAAGACCGAAATCACTGGGTCTGAGAATTTCATAAGTGGATGGGTTGGCCAAGATAGCCTTAGCGTGAATACCGGCTTTGTGAGTGAAAGCACAGAAACCCGTAATGGGGTTATTGAAAGGAATGTTGACTTGAACGGCTTCGGCGACTAAATTCTCCAAATCACGTAATTTGTGTAATTTATACTTGGATAAGACATAATCACGGTCAGCAGTCATCATACGGGCCATGAGGCCCCCGAGAGAGGTGATACCGTTTCTTTCACCAATACCGAGAACCGAGACATCAATAAGAGTAGCCCCAGCTTCGAGTGCAGTGTAGGCATTGGCAATAGCACAACCAGTATCGTTATGAAAGTGACATTCAATATCACAGGAGACGACGGATTTGAGAGTACGAACTAATTCGTAAACTTGTCTAGGGTTGGCGCCTCCAACGGTGTCCGCGATACCGACACGGTTAACACCGATCTTGTCAACGGTCTTGTAAATGTTTAAGAGGTCAACCAAGTCTGAACGAAAACTATCTTCAGAAGAGAATCTGATTTCGATGCCGTGAGACTTGACGTATTCAATGACTTCAACAGCAGACTGGGCGATATAGTTCATATCTTTACCGTGGGAATATTGTCTCAGGAAGGAAGATGTACCAATGACGACATCGACACCGTCCACACCTGTTTCAACTGCGATTCTGGCATCATCCATATGACATCTGATATGAGTCAAAATCTTAGCTTTAAGACCTAGTTTACAGATTGCTTCACAATCACTTCGGGACTGCTCAGAGGCAGCGGGAGAGGTCAGCTCAATGTAATCCACACCGAAATCGTCCAAAGCCTTGGCAATTTCGATCTTTTTTTCAGTATCGAAGAAAGCATTAGCGAATTGTTCACCTTCACGTAGAGTCGATTCAATGATTTGGAATCTAGTGACGTTGGATAGCAGATCGCGCGGATTGGGCGCATAAGGATTGGGTGCTAAAATACTCAAAAAAACAAAAATAGTAAGTATATTTGAATTCCAAAAAAATCAAACGCAAACAAACATATATATACAAACGTTAGAGCACAAACATGGGTTTTGTTTTCATTCTTGAATGCAAACAATACCGTCCTCAACTACTATGGGTTCCAGCTTAAAGATATACCGCTGGGAATCCGCTAACTTAGAGACGGTACTATACCGATAAGCCAAAGCCAGCAGGGTAGCCAAACACCAGAGGACAGCCAATGTAGTCTCTACCCATGCGATAGAGCAAAAAAGAAAAGAAAACAGTTGGCTGATTGAGAAAAACGGACCCAAAAAGCAATCGGGCAACCCTCTTGAAATATACTTACGCGTAGGCATCGTTGTAAAATGGAAATAAGCGATAAAAGCTAGTGGTGCATGTGTATAGAAGGATCTACCTGTAGGCTCTTTCTTTGACGGTTGTCTGCCCAAAGTCCCAAAATTGATCCAAAACAACTCGCCCCAGCCTCCGACCTAGATCTACCCCCAGACCGTTAATTACACAGACCAAAACCGAAATAGTAGAAAAAGTCTAGTTTTCATTGCTTCATGAGTCAGCACCTCTATATAGTGATTATTCAAACTAGTTAGTAACTATTACACTACTATAATGATGGGACCATTGTTCGATATTCAAATTAATATATATATAAGGTAGCGACGGGGCAATTCAAGCTCGTGTGATGGCCATTAGAAACACCATTTCCTCCGTATTTGCTGTCGTTAAAACTCGGTCTACGTTAATATTTCGATTTCTGGCCCTTGGACTGTTCAAATAATACATTACCGGTTTTAAGCGTACTAATTTGCTGTAGAAACCCGTTTGTCCTCGTTTAATAGCCCTTTGTTGTAGTCGCGAGTGTTGTGCTTACACGTTATAATTTTTTTTTCGATTTTTTAGCCTCGCATCAGTCAGTCGTTGATAGAGGTCTATTTAACCACACCTCAAGCTAGCCCCACGCTCCTGATTTTTGTCCAAGCCTCTTGGAATATTGGGCTATTTTGTATATATATCCTCTTGTTGATTTTTTAGCTCCAATTTAGGCCTGAACCGATCCTTTAGGCTACGCTCAAAAATCCTTTTATCCCTACACTTTATACACGCAAATAATCATGTCCAGGTATGTTGAATAGCCGTTCCTCTATTGTATGGCTTCATTTTGAGGCGTTATTTTTGGAATTCTTGAATCATTTATACTAACCTGTATTATTTCCGCTCTTCTTCTTATTTTTTGATTGTATCTATCCAGACTAGATCGTTTGGTAGTGTATGTTTACCATGCTTTAGTTTGGCTTGTCTAAAATTTTCTCCCCCACTATTGCCATGCTAACTCATCTTTATTTAGACTCCTTGACACAGGAACCTCGGCCTTTGTTCGTAATACTGCCGCTGATCAACTGGCTACACTACAGTCGGCTCATCCGGAAGAACTCTTAAATCTTTTGGGCCGTGTATTCCCTTACCTTGAGTCCCGTAAATGGGATACGCGCGTGGCGGCCGCTAGGGCCATCGGCGGAATCGTTGCTAATGCCACCAAGTGGGATCCTAATAGAATCACCGAAGAAAATGAAGAGAATTTTGACGCTAAAGTTAAGATGGAATTAGATGACTCCGAACCTAGGATCCCCGGCGTCAAAATTAAGGAATTGGACGATGATATGAAAATTAAACCCGAACCCTCTGATGAATTTTATGAAGACAATGATACTTTAAATAATCTTGAGATCGAGACCAACATTAAACAAGAATTACACGATAAAACATTGGCATTGGAGGATTCTCTAGATAGTGATGAACTCTTAACATTTGCCCAATTTGATATAAAATCAGTTATTAAAAACGGCGGTAAATTATTGGGTAGTGCTGGTAAAGAGTATGACGACCCTTACGCGCATTTAAACCCAGCAGACAAACTCAAGCGTCAAAAGCATATATTGAAAAATCGTTTAGGTATGGGCGGGGAATTCATGGAAGACGAATTATTGAACGATGGTGATTTATCAGATATTGCCGGAACTACATCGTCCATAGTTCGGGGTGTCTCACACTCATCAAGACCAGATTCGGCCTCTGCATCACCGGCCGGAATGAGCCCTGCTAGCTCAACTCTCTCTGCTGCATCACTCGCCTCCACGATACCAGTGAAGGTGGACCCGGGTTCT